GTATATCGTCCAGTACGATCAGTATAAATATTTTATGATCTCCTTATGTGTGTGTGTGTATGTTTTTATTCACTCAATTACAATCACTCTCTTTCAATTTAATTTCAAAGAAATACAAAGTTCAAATTTTACAAAGTATCTCATTTTGAATTTGATTTGAAGTCTTCGTAGTCTGGAGTTCATTTTTCCTGAAATGTTAGTACACACAAGAGCAAATACAAATCTTCTAAAATTGTTAGGAGATAACTACACATTTGAACAATAATGTTTGGAATCATCAAAACTACATAAGTTGCAAAAATGTAAAGCATTCAAATAGCAACTATTTTAACAGTTTTAACTCTCTGTTCAATCCTTGCATAAATGTATAGCATTTTTCTTCAATAGTGGGGATCAAATGAGAAGCATACCGAGCAAGTGCAGTAAACTCGACCTCGTACTGCATCACTGTCTTGCGTCCTTGCTCCAATTTGATGAAAGCTTCTTGCATTTGTCATCGGGCTGATGGAGGTACAAACCACATATGAAACACTGTAGTGAACTCGTCCCATGTGATCTCAGCATTTGTCTTCCCTTGAAATTTCTCTCTCTCTGTAGTCCAATCCACCATCTCTCAGCTTCTCCTTCAAACAGAAACACAGCAAAAGGCATCTTTTGACTTTTCGGACATTGCATGCTGTCAAAAATCTTTTCTATCCTCATTATCCAATCTTCAACAACCTCAGGTCCTACAGCTCCTTTGAACAATATAGGCTTCAACTTATGAAATATCTGTAAATGCTTATCTGCTTCTTCTTCTTTACTTCCACTCAACTTACTCTATGTGTCACCCATGACTTGTGCTATAATAGTAGCCAACTGCATCATACTTTTTGAGGGTACTAGAGCTACACAGTGTTGCTAATTTGGCACACTTGACTCTGGATTATCCATTTAACTTTTCACCTGCACAGTTCAGTATAATCTGAATGATACACACATGAAACTATGTATATAAAATGATGCACTTGAAACTACACATTCTACCCAACTCTCAATCAAATCCTATAGCCCTGATAACAATCAATTCTTCTAATAACACTGCTTTGATACTACTAAATTGTGACGCCCCAAGATCTAACTTGGAAGAATTATTCAGTCAATCCTTTAAGTCAATCTTCTACCAGAGCTATCTATAGTCATCAATCAGTGATAAACAGTCTAACAAAATCTATGATTTAAAACATAAATGTATATATTTCTATTAATTCCCAAAAGTTCATTTACAATACTCATGATCTATACATTAATCACATGTAATCTATCTTAGCCTGAGTACAAAAAGAATCACTATAACAAAAGGATAAAAACATGAAGATTTTTTATCAACCTCAATCTCCTGCTCCCTTGCCCTAACCTGAAAATATTAACCATATATAATGAGCGTAAAAATCCCAACAGGTCACCAAATACCTACAACTGAAATCAAAGCACGGTACAGAAGCAATATGCATGTCAATCAGTCAAATCATAGCAGTCAGTTACACATGATCATTGAGTCAATGCATAAACATAAATTAATGCATAAATAGTAATCAATATAATAACAGAAATCAATACAGGAACATGTAAAGCCATCATTATTAGTGGAAGAATCAATAAACATTATAAAAGTTTGTGAAGCTCAATGAATCAATACGTGTTTCAAATCTCTACAGTAGTCGCCGTATCTATAACACCAGTCAATTCAGTAGACAAATCATCGTATCTAAAATCTCAGTCAAATCATTAAAAAAAAAATCTTCGTATCGGTAATACCAATCAAATCAGTCAATAAATCATCATGCCAATAATATCAATCGTATAACGAGAATTCATCGGCTCAATAATATCAGTCGGTATAAAATGTCAAATTAATACTATCTTTCGTGACTAATGAAATCAAATCAATGAAATAAAATCAATCAATGCCGTAGAATCGTATCAAAATGTACATTTATAATTTAGTTATCCAATATCACGTGCTCAGTGAATCACATACAATCCAATAATCTATATCACGTGCTCAATAAATCACATGTCACTTATTCAGTATATCACATGCATAATATCAGTACAGTGAATCAGTAGTATCAGTGCCTGTATCAGTATCAGTAACAATCCAGCGACATGAACAATAATACTATGATAGTAAAATCATGCATAAATAGTAAATTTGTATAATAATAATAAGAATAATGATTAAACACATGTAGTTCAGTAATCATACTCAACAACATACTCAACAAGTAAAAGTCATGGCTATTATGATGTTTTTCAGTCTTGTATCAGTATCAGTATCTTATATCTTGTATCCGTTAGCTGAGTAAAAAGAGTTGTCACTCTTTGCCCATCGGCACAGTAATCATCTCCTTATAACTCCCTTCAGTAATCACGTGATCAGTAGAGGATAACACCAAATCACATTTAAAGGAAAGTCCATCGGCCCACCATCCTGTACAGGTCAATCAGTCTCCAACCAACGGTTCAACTAGTCCTTACTTGTCTTTTACATACATAGTAGTATCACAGTAATATAACAATAATTTCAATCATATAACCATATTCATCATTATGTTATCAACACATTGCAACCAATAAACATGATTTAGCTCAATTTAGAAAACTCCTTAAAATATTGTATAGTAGACAGAAAATTACCAAATTACTAGAAATCATGTAAAATAACGTTTCAAAACTTTACTTGTTCTGAATCAATATTTTTTAACATCCTGATAATTTTCTATTCGATAAAAATCCTACATAATTCAAAATATCCGGTGAAAACTTTCCAGAAAATACTCAAATCGTGTAAACTTATCATTTCTACAACATACCAAAAGTTACGCAGTAAAAATTTTGTCAATACAAAGATATGCAAGAATTTCGGTAACGGAAACACAAAACTGAGCAGAAAAATACCAAAACTCAAAATCCTCGAAATCAGAAATAGGATTTGGAATCCTTACTTCGAGACAAACAAATCTTTCATCTGCGTTGACGGGTGAAAATCGCTCCTCGGCCTCCTAAACCAAGCCTTTTCATTCTCTTTCCTTTTCTCCAACTTATCTCTCTCTAAAAAAATATCTTAAAATATCTCTAACAGATATATATATATATATATATATATATATATATATAATAGGATAGTACGGGATGATTCCTATTCGTCCCAGGACGATTTCTCCTCTTGACAAAATTCATTCAAACGAATTTGTTATCGTACCTGGACGGCTTGCTCTCTGGACAAACTTCGTCCCGATGAACCTAAATTCGTCCTGGGACGAACCTCTCTTCCCCCAGGTTTTGAACTGATCGTCCCGGACGATCTCAACTTCGTCCAGACGAACCTGGAAGGAAAATCGGGTTTCACAATAGGTGCAATAAACAATCCATTATTTCATGTTATAGTATTGAATTTGGATTTTTGAGCAAGTGGTAAGGAATTTTTGAACATCTGTGAATAAAAATTATCTTGGAAAATTTAAAAATTAAATGGGGAGAGCCAATGAAAATAGATAGTGGAAAATAAATATGCCATCAATAATGCTCATAAATCAATACAACATGATCATATCATATTAGAAGTAATTTTAGACATTTTATAAAATAGAAATTGGAGAAAGGGTTAATTCACACTCTATATATATCAACAATAACTTAACTTAGTGGTATATTCACCGAAAGACAATGTAACCCCACATTTAATTGTATTATGAGCCAGTTGGAATGGTAAATTTATTTAATCCATAGATATGAAAGGCTAGATAAAAAATTCTTTGTAGTATGCAGTTTTTTAACTAGAAAAGATTAATGAAAAGCAGAGCAACATATTAGCCAGTCAAGCTGATTTCACAGTTGCAAATCTATAAAAGATGCTAAATTTTAAAAACATTTGTTTGATCAAGCTCTTGACCAAAGTGCTTCACTACTAAAAATATATGCCTTTAGCAGCCTTTACTAGTAGCAAAATAAATATCGCTACAGCGGTCTTAAACCGCTCCTTTTATTATTAGTTCGCGCGTGAATGAAAGTTAAGGCGCGAAACCGAAAATAAATCCTGCGAAATAAGCCCTAGCCTCGTCCCAGCCTCTCGAACGATCTCCTCATAGCGCTACCTCTCTCAAGCGATCTCCTCCGAGCGCGAGCGATACGTCATCTCCGAGCGCTAGCGATCCGTCGAATCCGAGCCAGATCTCCGTCGACGATGGCGACGCTGACGCCGAAGCCGACGCTTCGCCTCACTTGTCTCGTCCCTCCCTCGTCTCGTTCATCTCCAGCTTCACTCGTCAGAAGATACGATTCCACTTCTCTCCATCATTTGCCAACGGTAATAGTTTAACTCCACACTAGTGTTTGCTTTTCCTCAATCTCCTAACGTCTAACGATTTATGATGTTTTCGTCATTTATCTAGGATAATTTTGGGTGCAAGAAAAATGAGATCAGGTTTTGGAACATTGCAAGAGGTGCTTAATCATTTCCTTGAAACGACCACTACATTTCTTGAATGCTACTTGTAAAAGAGGCGTCATGGAGCAAGCCAACTCAGTAGGCAAGGAGAAAGAGATGAAAATCCAATCAATAGAGAAGCTTATCATGCTGGTCTTCAGGATTTTCAATCTGTGTTGACGACATTTACTCGCTATAGGTCTCAATATTATCATATTACTAAAATGGATACACTGGATTCACCTTTCCTGTTTTATTTCCAGTTTTTGCACTTCCAATCTGCTGTCATCTATCCTAGTCTTTTCTCATCCTTGTTTTTATTCTCTTTTTTTTCATCTCTCTTGGATCAGCCGGTTGCGTGTGATTGCAGAGGTTAGACATGGAGATCTGTTTCACTCTGCAAATATAGTTTCTAGGTAAGTATCTGGTATTAATGGCAAATGCTTTATTTTTCCTCTATGTAGTTGTAAATGCTCCAGAAAATAATAACTCGGCTCAGTTAAGGGAAAAAAAAATTTCCAGCAAGTATTACACCAATAATCTTTCATAGTTTGTTTAAATTCATGCTTCTTTACCTTATTCTTTCCCTTCTAATAGTACTCTTATTTACAAGCCATATTCTATACGCTGATTTGCTCATTGCCAGATTACCAGGAATCAATAGAATCACCGTATTTAGTACATTTACTCATGAAGGAGGTGCTCGACCCCAGATATTTAAACTGTTAGGAACTACCAGCATGTTTTGCCAAGGATTGATGAGTTATATTGTTAGTTATTTTGTTCTAACTGTTTAACTCTTTATTTATCGTCCTTTTACTTTTCATTGTTCCACTAAGGATACATTATCACCTGAAAATGTCATTCATTCTTGTAGTAGCTGTTAATTATTGTGATATTTTATCACTGCGCAATACTAGTAGTAGTTTCTTGATTTTCAAATTCCTGATTTAACTATAATTTTGTATAGTAGAACCAAGTGTTCCAAAACCATTAGTGAATTTTGCCAACAAACTCATGATCCTGCATCAGGTATTGCTATAATTCATTTCATATATCTCTGCAAAGTTAAACTCTATTATGGAGATTTAAAAATAAACTTTATTTGCTAAAAATAAGAATGATAGATAAAAAATGACTATATCTGAGGGATGGTGGTAGTAGCATCTTTTTAAGAAAAGTTAATGGAATATAGACAATGAAGAATAGAAGATTTACTGATTAAATGGTTAGATGGAATTTATGTAAAAATTATTAGGACAAAAATAGGATAGAATAAACTTAACTTGGATAGAAGTTGTGCAAAATGATCTGCATATAATGGTTTTAACATCCCATGCAAAACTCAGCTTGGAAAAGGACAAACCGAGAATCTGAATTCCTAAAGGTAACCCCAAATAACTTGGATAAGGCTAATGATGATTTGGGCCTCAGTTATATCTGAGGAACTAAAGAAACTTGCACTGCTGGATCTTGTGCTATGTTTGGAAATTTAATATCTAGATTATACTATTAATTGCATTGATAATTTTTTTGACATACTATATACATGACACCTTCAGCAAAACCACATTTTAATTAGTGTTTATTTGGACTTATAATATCTTACACATTTATAACCATGCGTATTGAGCTGGGCTATGAATAAGTTGAGGTTGTGCAATTCTACAATTCCCAAACTTCCAGATTTGGTAAGCTTCACTAATCAACTCAAAAGTTGAGACATGATTAAGGCTTCGTTTGGGATGGTTTTCTTGCTATTTCTTAAAGTAAATTTTTAGTATAAAAATTAAATTTTTTGCACTGAAAAACTGTTTTAAGAAACAGTAAGAAAGTCATCCCAAACGAAACCTAATTTACTCAGTTATGGTGATTCATCAGCAGAGTAATTTTTTTATTCTTTAAACATAGCATGCGCTTGTTGCCAAGAAATTTGAATATTTCATGCATACATACAATTGAAATTATAAGAGCGGCACTTTTGCTTTGGTATTTTTTTTTTAAATCCAAATCCAAACCCAAACATTGCTGCTCTCTGTTGCTAATTTGTTTCTAAATGTTTTTCCGCCATATTTCCTATTTGGTTGTAAAATATTTGGTAAATGATTTCCGCTACATGGCACTGCTCAAATGCTTGTTTACTGATTCTCTGCTATTTTTTCTACTTCAGATTATCTGAAGTTCAAAGCTTATGCTGCATCTATTGCTGAAGAAATGAGGACTGAACTACAACTAAAAGATTTACCTCTTGAAAATGCGTCCCAGGAAGATCTTAATTTAATTAATATCTCAATCGACGAGGAAGAAAATCAAGAAGATGGCAAAGATTGGACCTCAAAGCTGGGTGTGAATCTAAGATACTATGTCAAGTTTAGAAAACATTCAGCATCAAAGATTGGACCTCAAGAACATCAAGAAGATTGACAAAGATTTTTTTTTTTTTGTATTCAATGTTGTATATTTTAAGTCTTTGTGAACAAGTTGTATTCATTTAACTCTATATATGTTGAAGTATCAATTTTGACATTGTTTATGTATTATTAAATCATAAAAAATGATTTTTTTGCATTATATTTTTTTTAATTGGTCATACCCTTTAGCAGCGGTTTTAACACCTGTTATAAATGATGCTATAGCTGTTTAAACCGCTGCGGGTTAGAAAATGTGATGTAAAAGCCTAATTTATTAGTAGTGCTTGTCCAGATGACTTTTTGACCAGACCTTGTAAGTGATTTAGTCTTCATTTGGAGCATTTTTCTTACTATTTTTAAAGCAATTTTATAGTATAAAAAATTATTAAAAGTTGATAAAATATAGTGATCAAAAGCTATCCCAAACCAAAATTTCGTTTGAGACAACATGCCTAGTATTCTACTGAACGAGCTATAATTTTAAATGGAGATATTTGGTTCAATGGTTTGACCACGTACGAATCACATGACATAATAAATATTTAAATAAAAATATGACAATTATAGAATAATATAATTTTGGAATTTAAAAATAATTAAAATTCATTCATAAATAATGTATTCTATAATTTTAAATTTATATATAAATAATAATTAATTTATCATTTATGTTATATATTTAAATATGAATAATTACTAATTTTAAATTTAAATGTGAATTCACTCCATCATTGATTTTAATTCACATTTAATAGAAATTTAGTTCATTTATAAATATATAAGTTTAATATAAATAATTAATATATATTTTTTTGTATATTTAGGTATAATTTACACATATAAATTATATATATAATTCGCATTATAAAATTAAATTTATAAATTCTTATTACATTATTTATAATTAAATAATAGATGAAAAATAGTTTTTATATTTATATGATTAAATAACTAAATAATAAACATTAAATGTTATTAAATAAAAATAAATATTATTTACATATAAAATTAATAAAAGTGTATGTTTTTAAAATTATTTTATTTTGTGGTGTTAACTTGAGAAGTTTCACTTTTAGTCTTTAGTAAAACACATCTTTTTGAACATTTTAGTTTAGTATTATTTATAATTTATATAGTTTTTTTTTTATTTTGAATGAAGGCAAAAATAAGGTCAAATTGGATGGCGATGCCCTTGTCGAGTAAGTTTTGTTCGGGCCTTATTAAATTAAATTTATTATCAAATATTAATAGATATTATTTATATTTGGAATTTATTAAAAAAATAATTTAATAATATAACATAATATCAATCTGAACAGCAATCCTACCCTGTTCTTTAAAAATTGGGACCGAACGGGTTTTATCTTGTTCATTCGAAGTCAAATTTAGAGAAAATTCAAATCCCGGTTGGCCAGCCAATTCCTGTCATGCTGGAATGGTTTTGCAACCGGATTCCCTGTATACAATGTCGATACCAGTCGGGTCTGAGTCCGACTTTCAAAATCCAATGGGTATAGATTAAATTTTCACATAAGGCCTATAGTCAAACAATTAGGCCAACAACTTCACTAAAGCTTTGAATGAGAAGCATTCAAAAATTAACATCAATCTTCAAACATGATAAATGCCTAGTGTAGCAAATCATATGATCAACATCCTCCAAAAACTTGCCAAAAAATATATAATACAAGACAAAACAACAATATCGTTAATTGATCTTTGGGTGGACTTAGAAAAAAAAAAGAAAAAAAAGAAGCCACCCCACATACTATTCTCTGTTTCTAACATCACAATTCAAGATTGTTTAGTCATGCATCAAATTCATTAGGCCAAGTGTCCCTTTATAATGGATTGATTGAGACTAAATCATTATTATTGATATTCAAATCTTATCATCATACTTCATCCATATAGCCCCATTATGCTAGTGTGTAGATAGGATGGGGTGGGATCAAACAAAAATGGCATTATCCATTGTATTAAAAGATTCAATTACCAAGGATTAATCATAGGATTATCATAATTGAATTTTGATACAATTTACATTACTTGTTTTGATATATGCAATTTAAATACGAATGAAATGAATCAATACATCTCCAACTTTCACTTTAGATTTTCAAATAAAAGCATATAAAGTTTCACCACTGTAAATAGAGAGATTTATGTTTTCTCGTTTGGGACAACATTTTTTTAATTAAAACTCCGTTTTAAAGACAGCAATAAAAAAGCGTCCCAAACAAAGCCCGTTATATGACATTGCTATCTATCAGATATATGTATAATGGATACAATGGAATTAAGTTTTTTTTTTAAAGTGGAAAAAGGCACATATCGAGCTAAAGCCAAAGGGGGTATGCCAATATTTTACTTTGTTTCTTGATTTAGGAATTGTTGAAGATGAATATACTTACGTTAGACATGTTAATTCGAGGCATAATAATCAATAAAGTTTTAATTAATTAGTGTGGTTTTCTTAAGCCTACTATCAATGGAACTATTCACATAAGATGCCACTAGTAAGTTTGCTTGCACACCTCCGCCAAACGTGTTGGTGTGTCCCATAGGAGCCATTTAGCTCTATTATTGGTGATTAAAGGCTAAGTAGGTTAGCTATTGATGTTTGCATAAGGCATTATAGACCTATGGAAAGCTTTTAATGTGTTAAGAGTGCTCTCAAATGCTATAATTTAGTGGTTTTTAAATTGCAGAGAAATGACAATATAATATACAATTTTAAATTCAAAACGGATGATCTTTCATATCAAAAATAGTGATGATAATGGGAAATTTTAGAGGAATAATGACACTGAGGAACTTAGGCGCTAGGGATGTCCACCCCTATAAAATGAGATAGAGAACTAAAGATTTATCAATAATCTATCGACATGAGTAATATTGATTCAAGTTTTTGGTGTTGGGAAGAGATGAGTTTTAAGACGATTGGCATGGGGGGTGGGGGTTGTGCTGGGTACATCGTTGGAGGTGATTAGGCAACTTTTTTTGTCACCATTGGCCGCTTCCTTGCCAATTGAATAACAAAAACTAAGTGATTGATTAGAGGTTCCACATTGAGCTCAAATTTGAACTTGGATGATTGGTAAGCTCAAAATTAGCTATAAACTCCAATTAGTTTAGACTTGCACGACTTTAAGTGGCTAACATCGATAAAAGTAAGTGGAATTGAAACTCAGGTTTAGTTGATTGTTGACTAATCAAAGCTTGATAGATACTGGTTATGGAAGACTCATATTGGGTTAATGTAGATCTAATTAGGTTATGTAAGGCTTTTAGTTAGGTTTGAAATTTTGGCGAAGGTGGAGGCCCAATTTTGTGATGGTTTGGGCTTAACTTTAAGCACTGAGCAATTAAACTATGATATGGGTTGGATCAGCTTTAGGCATTGGGTAAGTTAACTAACAAAAAAGAGCATTAGGGTTAAATTAGCTTATTGTTGCTTAATTAGGGTTAGTTTAGACTAACCTAGGTTCCCAATTAGTAACTAAAATTAAAAGTCATTAACTAGCTTGACCTAAAGTTGGGGTTATCCTAATACAAAAAAAATGGAAAACAATTGAATTATTGGAAGTGAAAGCAAAACAAATGATTCAATTCAAAATTTTATTTATGATTGGATATTAAGAAAAAATAGAATTTGTAGTCAATTTTGGTTTGTTCAAATTGATTTATTGGTTTGATATTAGATTTAATTTTTAAATTATAATTATTAGTCAGAAAAAAATTTTATGATTTTAAATTATGATAATCATATATATTTAATTAAGATGATAAAATAATCATATTAACGATGATTAAGATTCATTTAATCTTTTCAATATTTGAAAACGAACCTAACTCAAAACTGAATCAATTAGCTTCATACAAAGTGTAAATTAAAAGCTAAATTAACTAAAACCCAAATTAAATCAAAATTATTCAAATTTGATTTTTTGATCTTTTGAGTTGAGTACTTTTTTTTGAGCCACCCTAACACTATTTTGATTAAAAAAAACCCCTAGAATTTTATAGATTCAATGGCATTAAGGGTCTATAAGAGGTAAATTATTCCATAATTTTTATTGGATCAAAAATTTTTTTTTTTTTTAATAATTTCAAAAATTTTAAATGGTAGGAAAGGACAATTTATAGAAATAATACGTCAAACCCGGACATTAATCTTGATCATATTTAAATTTTAAATTTATAGAATTAAATTTATGAATCATTATTGATCTTCAATTTTGATACACCTCTCGGTTAAGCTGATTGGGCATCGACAAAGCAAATTCCAAGATATAAAAATGATTTATCAAACTCCAAATATCAAATTTTTTTAAAAGATTATTTTCCAACAACTATAGAAATAGTTTATTTGGAACAATTTTTTTTTTTTTTCAAGAAAATTTTTTTGATAGGAAGCAACCTTAATAACTAAAATTTCTTAAAGTGTGATGGTTGCATTATTTCTTAAAAAAAAAAAAAAAAAAACTTATAAGTATATATTTTTTTAAAATATTTAGTGTCTCTTTGGGGTAATTGTTGTAGAAATATAATAAAAATAATAAACATTTTAATGCTATTATTAATATTATAAATTTCTTTATTAAAAAGTTGGGCAATATTTTGTAAATAAGTAATAACTATATTCTACAATATCCTTTATAAAAAATTATTTCTAACTATATAAAATTTCTAAAAATTAGATATTTACATTTATACCAATAAAATTCTTAAATGTAATTTATATTTTTATATAATATTTAAATACTTAAATTCTATAAAAGCATTCTTATGATTAAAATCTTATATATATAATTCATGTTAAAAATGATATATAAATAGAAATAAAGATCTAATTATTAGAAATTATAATATTACATTCTATTAATGAACACTCACAAAAAATATTAAACACCAATTAATGAATGGTAAACGGTGTGATTTTCTCTTAAAGATAATTTTAGCTCATGTGAAATTACAATATTATCCCCTGTTCGTATCGCGAACTTTCCCTCCTTTTTTAATCCCGAGTCGCGCCCAGACAGTGAGTCGACGGTGAAAGGTCGAATTGATGAGCCCCTTGTTGATGGAGTCTCAAACCTCCATTACCAGAGCTTTCGAAAGCAGGTGAGGATATTAATAGGCGCAATCATCAATTCCCTTCCGCTCGGCTCGCTCATCTGTCCAGACCTACCTAATTCTACTGTTCATATTCATCTCCCTCTCGTCATTTATTGCGCCTAGATCGATCCTCCTATCAGTTGGTGCGCAAGCTTTTATTGTCGACTCCTTCAGGTTTGGATCCTACTACTTCGGGCACTATCGGGTCGACTTTTCGAAGTTGGGGAGGCATCCGAAGGAGATCAATCACCGGATTCCTTGCCGGAAGAGTCCTACGCGGAGGTGGCGGAGGATGGGAGTGTTCAGGCTGCTCGGAGGAAGAAGCTGGGGATGCACTTTTTGAGAGTGATGAAGAAGGCGGTTCCCGGCAGCCATTAGCGGAGGTTACGTAGGAGGCTACGACGCCGGTTACTTTGAGGGGGAAACCTTTGAGGATCTATCTAAGACCGGTGGATGGGTTGCGGCCTTCTTCATCTTTGGTTAGTTTACTCAATTTTTGTTGTATTTATCAAATTCAACTGGAAGCTGTCCTTCTTGTTGTTGACTTACATTTTACGCTCCACAGTCTCATGTAATATTTATATTTTTATAATGCAACCGACTGTTTTTCTTTAATTGATTTTGTCATCTTTTCTAGTACACAAACATGCTTGATCTGTGCTATTTTTTTTATTTAAAAACGCAATTGGTGGGAGTTTTTTTTCTCTCTTTGTAGAATTGTCAATTTTATTCCCGACAATGCCAACAATGCTTTTCCTTTAAGCTTGAGTACAGCTAAGGTTAAAATTGTAACTCCTATTTCCTGCCATTGTTAGGGAGGTCGTCCTGCGCTTTGTTGTGGGAACTGCAGCATGCTTCGTGTGCGTGTACAACTGTTAGGGGCTGTTTGGGTAGCACCCCAAGATTTATTTTAATAGTATTTCGTAAATCCTCTAAATCCGGATTATTGAAATCTTGGGAGGCCTAAATCTTGAAAAATGTTTGGTAACATTCATGGATAAATCCTATTAAAAATCCATGTGTGACTGTTTTGGCCTAAGATCTGTTGACTGTAACGGCTAACCACAAACACAGTCACTGCAATCTCGCCTCTCTTGCCGAATCTTCACGTTACCCAGCCCCGGTCCCACCTCACACCAAAAATCACCGACTAAAGCCACCAAAACGATCCGCATCGGCTCATTCCACCGAACATTACTCACGAAATAAAACACTTCTTTCTACAATTCGGTTAGACACTGACTAGCATGCCACAGCAACTCACGGTTTCACTGAATCCAGAGAGAGAGAGAGAAAGAATTTGAGGCCTTATACTTTTCCCATTCGCCGGAGCCGACGTCCACGCTCCGCCGGACTTCCTTCACCGCTGAGCCGACGCCGACCAACGCCGAACGCCCCACCGACTCCTTTGACTGCCAGCCTGACGCCGAAGCCCCGCGCGATCTCCCGCTTCCCTACCGTCTGCACACGGCCGACCCTCCGCCTCTGCCCAATAGCCGCGACGGTTCCGGCTCCTCTCCGTTTATACCGATCCCTTTCCTTCTCCTCTGTTATATAATTATATAATATATATTAAATAAGATATTTATTATTAATAATGATATTATATATATAATATAATATAATTATTATTAATTATCTATAAATACTAATATATATAATTATATATATAATATATATATATATAATAAGTATATAAGAGAATGAAAGAAAAGATTAAAAAAAAAAGAAGGAGAGAAGAGAATGAAAGAATGATTTTTTTTTTTAAAAACAGGTGTCGAAGACCCCGGCCTGTCGTAACCTTAGGTTCCTGACCGAAATGGTTTAAAATTTGAAGACGCCCCGGGCCGTCGCATCTTAGATCCGCCCGGATGGTTTCCAATGAAAGACCTCAACCGTCAGTCGATCTTAGATCCTGGTGGATGATTTAAAATTCGAAGCCCCTACGGCGTCCGACCCTTAGGCCGGTAGGAAAAGAACTATCGGCAAGACGCGTCCCGATTTCCCCTCCGGTTGGGAGAGGCGACGTCGGGAGGGCCTGCCAAAATTTTCAGTGAACAACAAGGACTTGGACTAAATTTTGAAAATTGATTTGAATATAATTCAATTTAATCAAATTTAAAAAATCCAATTTTAAATAAAATTCAAATCAAATAATATTGGATTTAATATTCGAATTGGACTTAAACTCGAATCGGACTCATTTGGACTCAATCAAATCAACATAAAGATACCTGAATAGACTTATAATCGAAACAATTTAACAATGAGTATGATGTAATGGTTTAAACTAAAAATTGTAAATTGCAAAATTACGAGGTCTAAATGAAATGCAAATTAGTATTAATAGAAAAAAACTTATCCGACAATGCTCTTCTTAAAACAATTTTGTTTGAATGGTCTAATTCTCTATAAAAGTTCTTTGGGAAATCTCAGAATGCTATGTGAATACAGTATATATTTTCTTTCTATAGATGAATATATGTAAACTTGTACCCTCTCCGAGTCTATGTTAGAACCGACACAATAGTCTTCCCCAATCTTGTAGTTTTGCAGAGGAACCTAATCATCCATATGCATTTGAGAGAGATCATAAGAGTTCATAGAAAACTTTAAATGAGCAATACATAAGTGCGTTTAAACAATTTAAGAGAAAATCACAATTTGACGATTTGAAAAATTGATTATTCTCAATAAAGACCTTATAATCAATAAATTGAGAAAGTTATCCAGGTCGCCTTTAACAGCGAAAGATTTGTAATGAATATAATTTCGCTTTTTTATTTATATGAGCATATTAGCAAGACTTGTGAGTGGCATATTATAATTTACCTATAAATGTGAGTAGATATATTTATAAATACCCCACATAAGTAATAAGCTACAATTCACCTATGAGGAGGATTAGGGAATTTGTAGTGCCCCATAACAACTAGCCTACAAGCAAAACACAATCTCCTACGGAAAGAATAGGAGAAAATTATAGGGCAGATAAGATAATTCTCCTAAGATACTGCATGTCTCCCTACTATCTCATTTGAACAAGGCAGCATTTTTTATAAGCTTGTTGAGTGGGATATTATACAGCAAGGGATATCTTCTATGTCTATAAATTGATCTAATAAGAACATTATAACGCACCACGATCGCACATGTGTCAGCGACAGGGCGTTCGTAGTTTATGAATCCCGGGCATGTTATGAATCATTTGACTAAAATGGATCACTATTTAATTTTTAAATGCCCATTAATGTATTAAATATGATCTCTAATTAAAACTAAACCCTGCATTGCTCCGACATGAGACCTACTAAGTTACAAAATTATTGTCGAGAATGCTGCCATGGGTCAATGATATACTCCGCATGGTGCTTCAATCGTCAATATCTAGTCTTCAATCCACGATCCGAGAATGCTGCGCGGAATATTCATGTTTCATCCGCCTCCTCTAAAGGACTGGAGTCGATACGACTTGAAATAACCAATATGCATCCCAATTCTA